AACAGTGGTTATTCCACTGCATAAAAAGGGTAATGTTTGTGATGTAGAAAACCATAGGCCAATATGTATCTTCAGTTCCTTGTCAAAGATCTTTGAGACAATATTGTGTGGTTTTATTTCTGAATATGTAGGTATGGACATTGTTAAACAGCAGCATGGCTTTGTAGAGGGTAAATCTACTGTAACAAACCTTTGTGTTTTCACTGATTCCATAGCACTGGCTATAGACAATGGGCTACAAATGGATGCGATATTCACAGACGCTGAGAAGGCTTTTGATTAAATTGACCATGGTCTTTTATTGCAGAAACTGGTTAATTTTGGGTTTTCTGAATGCTCTTATAAATTGATAAGAACTTACCTATCTGCGAAGTCATGTGCTGTTCGAGTAGGAATGGAGCTCTCAGAGAGCTATATAGCTATTTCTGGAGTTCCACGGGGAAGTAATATTTCACCATTGCTTTTCTCAATGTTTATTAATGAGCTGCCGGATTGCTTAAGCATGGGCTCAGAGTGTCTATTGTTCGCGGACGACTTCAAGATTTTTAGAACGATAACCACTGTTTCTGATTGCAAACTACAAAATGATCTTGACAAAGTCTTCTCATGGTTTACAAAAAATAAGATGTCTTTAAATATTGACAAATGCTTTAATATAAGATTTTCTAAACGCCAAAACTTAATTCATTATGATTACGATATAGCCAATGTAAAACTACACAGCAGGCAGGGCCGTATCTAGACCAAAATTTTGGGGGGGGGTTAGACAAAGTGGCAAAAAAAAAATTGTAACACTAGTAATAAAAAAAATAAGTATTTAATAATTGTTGTTTGTTTTTAAGTTAAATTTTTTGAATTTTATTATTTTTTTGGGGGGGGGGGGGTTGAACCTCCAAAACCCCCCCTAGATACGGCCCTGCAACAGGGACCATTGTGGGGATCTGGGAGTCACATTACACTAACATGAGTTTTAATTTTCATTACAACCGAATTGTAAAAAAAGCGTACAAAATATTGGGATTTTTAATCAGAAATAGCGAAGAGTTCAAGATTATGGCCACATTAATAAAACTATACAATGCTCTTGTCAGACCACACTAATGGCGATTTCCATTTGTCAATCAGAGCGCACTGAGTGTATCCCCATCTTTTTCTAAAAGCGTGTAACATTTAAGGATATGGATACATTTTTTTTGCACTGGTTCGAGAAATGGAAATCGCTGTTAGAATATGCTTCAGTAATTTGGTCACCGACAGCTGAAAGCAACATTGATTTAATAGAAAAAGTTAAAAAAAAATTCTTGAGGTACCTATATTTCAAACAATTTTTTATCTATCCAGTTTTACCTCTCAAACAAAAAGAAACAGTAGGTAGTGTATTATTGACGGCTTGGAATACCTTCAAGCACTGAAAAGAAAAAGAAAGAAAGAGAAACAACACCTGCGAAACGTCGACAGAGTGAGATATTCAGTCTTTTATTTTATTGTCCTATTAACCGACGATCCCAACTACTAATAAGGATTCTTGTTCAATAAACTTTATCAAGTTTCATGTTCCTAAGATTACCTTAAGGCCTAAGGAATATAAATTATTTACAACCAGTTCTAGAACTTGCTCTCCTTTGAACAGGATGTTATCGGATTGCAATCGTATTTTAGCAGGGCAAAGCATTGATATGTTCAACACATCCATAAATCAATTTAAAAAAGGTTGTTTTTATGGGACTTATTTTTCATTTATACAGGGTGACTCAGAGTAAATTTACCTTTTCGAACGCGTACATCCAACTTAATATTTGTGGAGGGGTTAGCGCTGGCAATATACGGCGACTGCATGCGAATTATCAGTAAATATGGAGCAGTGGTCGAACAAGCAACGCGCGTTTAGTGTCGAGGCGTTTTTTAAATCAAACGATTTCTATGTCGCGGCACGGCGACGTTTTTGTAACCGTTACAATATTCTGCGTAAACGTGATACTCCGTCAAAAAATTTATTGAAATTATGGGTTCAAAGATTCAGACAAAGTGGTCCAATGGCAAATCCGAAGCGTCCCGGCCAACAGAAGTCCATCAGAACGCCAGAGAACATTGGGATTGTGCGACTGAAAATCCGAGGCACTCAATTCGAAAATATGGCGGGACGCTTCTGATTTGCCAGTTGCCACTGTACCACTTTGAATCTTTGAACCCACGATTTCAATACATTTTTTGACGTAGCGTCACGTATACGCCGGATATGGTTACGGTTACAAAAACGTCGCCATGCCGCGACATAGGAATCATTTGATTTAGAAAACGCCTCGACCATAAACGCGCGTTGCTCGTTCGACCACTGCTCCATGTTTACTGATAATCCGCACGTAGTCGCCGCATATTGCCATCTCTAACCTCCCCACAAATATTGAGTTGGATGTACAGGGCGCGTTCGAAAAGGGAAATTTACTCTGAGTCACCCTGTATAATTATGTGGATGTATTGTATTGTTCATTATTACTTCTATGTTGAACCCATGTACCTTTGCTGCATAAACTGACTTGAAAATGTGCTTTAATGTTTTATATTAAATTTTATTGTGTAGCTTGTAGGTATTTAAGTTGTTGTCTTAGTTTTAATATTTGCCCCTTACATATAATTACTATTGTGGTGTTTGTAAGGTGTACCTAATAAATAAAAATAAATAAAATAAATAAAACGACATATACAGTGTGTCCCACTTTTCATGAATACCCCCGATATCTCAGTTATTAATTATGCGATTTTATTCAAATTTTGGTGGTGATTGTATGTTAGAAAAATGAACTATTTGACATAGTAAACATTTTCATTTATCATTGGCGTGTGGTGTTGGGGGGTAAAAAGGTATTGTTTTTTTGGGGAAAATATATTAGGGCTTATTTAAGATAATTTTTTGTATCAGATTAAAAAACAGCATCCTCTAAAACCCCTTAATTCATATTTTTCAACAGATGATTTTGGCAAAAAGAAAATTATTTTAATTTACTTTTTCTAAAAGGCTGTTTCTTTTCAATTAGGAGGTTGTTATATCGAAAATACAATATTCTAAAATAATGTCATTAGTAATTTGTAGTAATCACAAGTAGAAATAAATAATTTTATTGGAAAAAATTAATTAAAATATTTATTTATTTTTTTTTGGTAAAATCAGCTATTGACATTTTGAAAATATGAATTACGGGGTTTAAGGGGATGCTGAATTTTAATCTGATACAAAAAATTATCTAAAAAAGCCCTAATATTTTTTTCCCAAAAATACAATAAATGAAAAATTTTACTATATCAAATAGTCTATTTTTCTAACATACAATCTCCACCAAAATTTGGATAAAATCGCATTATTAATAACTCAGATATCGGGGTGTATTCATAAAAAGCGGGACACACTGTATATACAGGTGACAATGAAACTACTACCCATGGCGGCATTTCTTAACGGCTCGAGATAGAAATATGCAACTCGGTTTTTTGATAGGGTTGAAAATTGTGAACAATTTTAATATAAAAACAATTGAATGTCTTTTCCGGTTTCACCGGAAATGGACTTGACTTTGTTATTTCGAATGGGACACATCTTTTTTTTTTAGACTCTTTAAACAATTCTAAATAAATTTTATTCCATTTTGACGTTTAAAAATTACATTATTGAACGCATAACAATAAAGGTAAATAGACGTTCATCACCTCAGTGATTTAAAAACATTTTAACTCACTCTCGGCATTTTAAGTCACTCTGCCAACTAAAAATCCGAAACCTCAGTGATTTGAAATATTTTTAACTCACTCTCTGCATTTTTCCTTGTACCTTATTTTTTGAATTTCCACATAATGGGATAAACGTTCGGGGCTCGTGGGTTAAACTTTCTTCTCATGAATAAACATTCATTTAACTCACTTGATGTTTAATTAACTATTGTCTAACATACCCCATGTCAAAAATTGATAGTTTTTGATTAATTTTGCAGGTGTCTATAAAGGTCGAATTTGTCATATTTGGATAAAGAATGAAAAAGTAGGATTGGGTAGAGGAAGTTTCATTTCCATAAGTTGAACCATTCACATACAGGGTCCGATCAAAAACTAAAACATTCATTTTCGAAAAACGCGTTTTTCTTAGCTTGCATTAATTCTTCTCTTTTATTATTTATTGAATACTTCTTTGGATAAGGAGCAAATAACCATGATTTTTTTTTGTTCTGGAAGGTCATTGGTTCTGGCATACTTAGTTTTAACGTAAAATACAAACAAATAAGAATTACGAAATATTTTTGAGCCACTCTTTTTCAAAAACTATCAATTTTTGATATAGGGTATATTAGGCAAAAGTTATTTGGAATTGTTCAGAGAGTCAAAAAAAAGATAATATACAGGGTGTCCCATTTAAAATAACACAGTCAATGCAATTTCTGGTGAAACCGGAAAAGCCATTCATTTGTTGTCATATTAAAATTGTTCAAAATTTTCAACCCTATCAACATACGGAATTGCATATTTCTATCTCGAGCCGTTAAGAAATGCCGCCGTGGGTAGTAGTTCATTATCACCTGGTATACATAATTTGAAAAGATTGTAGTATTGCTTTTGTAGTAGTGATTTTGACATCTTTAAGGCTAAATTTTATTCAATTTTTAACAAAAATGCAACATTCTCCCCTGTCTTGTCTCTACAGTAATGGCTTGCATTATATCCTGGGGCCACATTCCCAATCCACAAATCGATAGTATTGTCTAAATAAGTACAAATAGATACTATTGAATCGTAAATTTGGAATCTAGGTCCAGGTATATTAAAGTACTTGGGAGTTTATGTTCGAGATGAAAAAACATGTAAAATAAGGCTCTCATTCAAAACATTTTGAAACAAAAACTCTCTTCGTTCGGTGGTAAAATGTTCCCGGCAAAAAATACGTAAAATTAAATGACCCACTAAGGTATTTTGATAATTTTTGAAAAAATATGCTTTCAACATTCTAAAATTAAACTCACTTTGTAATTGTTCCATCAATATCAGAAATTACAATTTTATCGTCCCATTTCCATTTGTACAAATGACACTGGCACCTTGTAGTACCTTGATAAGCCGTAGTAACACTGAATTTAACTTCGTTCATGCCATCCCTTAGATTCAATAATGCCTTAAAATAAAAAAATTAGGAGTAAAACTAGTTAATACCAAAAACAAATTGACTTACAATTTGCTTGGAGCTCAATCTCAAAGTCTTCCTATATTTATCGGACCCTTTTGGAGATTCTGGCAAAGCAACTTCATCGTGCATGTCATCGTCCTTTTCCTTGATTTCCTTAAGGGACTCGACACCAGTTTCTACATGGATTTCGTTTAACGCTTCTTCTTCCTCTAACAAATCAGAAGCATACGCTTTAGCCTCAGTAGTGGCAACATTTTCCTTGGCAGGAGTAGTTTCGCGTGACAATCTGCCTCTCCAGTGCCACCAAGACGATTTATTAGACGGTTGAACCGTAGCTGACTTACTTTTCACTTCCTGGACGGCTGACATGTGAGTGCTGCACAACTGATCCAAAGACGATTGCATCATAGGTCTGCCGAAACACATCACACTGATCAGCATGGGCACTGCTACTTTGAAACTGTAATATTTGTCGTTCACTTTGGCAACGAGTTTTGGATTTTCCAAAATTGATGGGTCATTGGAAAAATCGCTAAAGGAAACAATGTGCTCGTCGAATTGTTCGGGAGATAGGTCCGGTTCCCAACCGCAGAGCGATAGGATTATGTCTTGAGAGTAAGTTTGAACGCTGGAAAATAAGGGATTGTGAAAAATGTTTGAGTACTGTTTGAAAATATTTACAGTTTTGAGTGTTCTTCGAAGTCTGAATCGATACTTTTGGAGCCTTCAGGGCTGTTGGGGCTTTGCGCCAACGAAGGACCGTTTCCTGATTCACAATCGTGGTCGATGTCTACATTTTATAAGGCAAAACAATTAATAAATTATGCAAAAAACGGACATGGATTACTTTGAAGTATTCCCAACAGAGAAACCAAAAAGTCACATTGTATAACCTTGCTATGAAATTTGGCCAGAAAGCCAACTTCCTTATGGAAGAATTTTTCCCTAGCTGACTTCTAATCAATTAGATAAAAGTTTTGCGTGCCCCTCTATGTCATTTCATTAAAAAATTAAATCATGCAAAAGTAATCAAAAAACCAAAATTCACTTGCCTCCAGCTTCTTTCTTCCTCTGACTGAAATATATATCCACAACCTCCTGATCGACAACGCCAGCTGTAATTTCGGATAAATAAATGCCGCCTTCAGCGTAACGAGATTGGGCGCTGTGTTTGGATTTCATAAACGAAAACATACTGCTCAGCATCGATTTTGCTTCTTCCTTTCTTGGATCCTCGCTTGTCGGTGAAGTTGTTTGTGAGACACTAGGAAAACCGCCCCATTCCCAACTGTTTGATAGTTCATTGGGATCTCCTAGAAAATAGAATGGATTTGTTTTGAAGTTACATTTGTTATAAATAATAAGTTATTGTTATTGAACTTTACAAGGTATCAATTTGGGCTTTATATTACAGCATTTTACCAACATTTTCATTATCTTATAAACATTGACCAGGATCAGTGGTAGGAGCACAAAATTCACCATAGTAGTTAGCATCTTTTTCAAGATACACACCAAATCTAAGAGAGCATTTGGGGGAAAACCCAAGTCAAATTGATGTCTTTAATGACTGGGAATTGATGGAAAGTGTACGAAATGTAAAAGAAACAGTAAATTTCAATTACAGTGTATTAAAAACGATCCAAATTTCGGTGCATAAAACTTGTTTCTGTTTATCTGTCTTGCCTTTTAATCACCAACATAATTCATGATTCGCAGTGGCGTTCATTGAACCAGACAAACACAAATGTTTTAAATAAACTCTAATAAAACTTTGTCCATTCATTCAAAACATTGAATAAACATAGAGATTTAGAATTTTTTTAATAATTATTATTATCGAGTAAAAAATATCTTTGTTTCTACCGATACTACACTACAAAGGAGGAGGAGATTCAATAGATTTGATTTCACATCACCTAGTGAAGTTATAGTTGTTTAAACCTATTTTAATTCAATTATACCTTTTGGTCTGTTCATTTCAAATTCCGAATCTGATTGGACAAGTTCCACAATGCCAGGAGTAATGGAACGAGAGTCTGCGTTACCTGTATTCACTTCTGTGTCGCTGAAAAAGTGAAAATCCGCATCTACTCTCTTGATGTTTGATGAGTCTGCGACTTTTTTGGTTTCGATTGTGTCTTTGTCCGACTTGTCATTAGTTAACCTAGAAAAAATCATAATTGACAAAAATCTTGAAGTAAAAAAAATTCTTACTGTAATTCTTTGAGCTCGGCTTCGGAACTGTTACTACCTAGCGAGCTTCTGTCAGTAGTGGAATCAGTTCTTTCTAATACTTCAATGCCATGGTTGCTAGCAGATTTTCTAGGTGCGTTCTTTTTGCGCATTTTCTTCTTTTTTTTCTTACTACTTTTGCTCTCACCCTGAGATTCTTCTATGGGCTTAATTGGAGTCTTTGGTTCAGAAACTTTCTCTGGTTTATTTGGTGGTTCGTCAAGACTGTCCATTTTGAATATGGTTTCTGATACGTCATTTTGACTACGACTGGGGTCGTCCTCATCAGTACGCCTTGACATTGTTGTGAGTGAATAAGTAACGTCTTCTGCTGAGGCCCCTTCAATATTACCTAAACCAATCTAAAAGGATATTGTTATAGTTTGTTTTTTTTGGATTGAATAATTTAAATTGTTACTTGTCTTTCCAAAAAATCCCTCTCTAAGTGGGCTCTATTTTTCGACATTTGACTATCAGCTGTATGACGTCTCTTTTCGTAATTATTTGTCTCATTAGCTTGGAGCCCATCTATATCGTCTAAATGAAAGCTCCTTCTGCGGCCCTGAAATTTATTAAATTATTATATGGCCCAAAAAATCTATTTTTAAATTTTGGCTAAACATATGCGGAGCCAACACAAACATAATAAATGGAAATTTACCTGATTTTTAAATATATCCTCAATTTCGGAGACCGGGATCGGTGATGTGGCCAAATGTTCTGGAATGTCATTTTCTTCATCGTCTTCGATTTCTTCTACGAAAAAAGCCTCCCCACTTTCACCTAGTTTCATGTGTATATCTAACGGTTGTCCATTTATTTCTATATCAACCTGCAATGGAAAAAAAATCGTGCAATATTCAATAATTTTCCCTAACATGCAATAAGGAAAAAGTGAAAATAAAAATACTAGATTAAACTAAGCATGCAAAATTATACGCAGTTACTTTCGTAGGCGAATTTTTGGATACTAGGAAAAACACTATGGAATCGAATATGCGGAATCATGAAATGGCAAAAAAGATTTTCGACATAAATACATTGTTTTCATACAATCCGGATAATTTGTTAATGTTTCTCCGAAATCGATAATAATTATTGTCCTTGACAACTTTTGGCCAATAAAATTACTCATTTCATATTATAAATCAACTTACAACATACATTTGTTTGGCTCTCTAATGAAACTGTGCAAGAATGGCTTTTTTCTCACACTGACTTAGTGCAAGTGTTTGCAAGATGTACCTAATGAATAATGCCCGGTTTCTGAACCATAAAATATTCTGTTACATAAAATTGTAGAAAGATAATGAATGGCTCTAAAACTTGTTAACTAGAACTTGAAAATTTTAAGCTGCAACCTTCCTTCCGACTTATCAGGATTATAGGAACTTTCATCGTGCTGCTTTCTGTATAGATTTCCAAAGTATATTGTTCAGGGATATTATTTACCTAATATCGATCTCAAAGTAAATTAATTTAATTTCTGTCTTTTGGAACTATTTAACTTGCATGCACTAATAAAAACCTCCTGAATTTCCAAACACAGGGCTCAAAATATAAAAAAGATAAAACTGCTACTGCCTAGTAGATTTATAGACATCTAAGAGATATAGTTAGTATGTATGAAACAAATATTCAAATCATTGGGCCAAAGGAGAACTGGAAACTTCTCAGCTGCAAAATTGTTGAAACTTAATTAAAACCTAAATTAACAGGTTTGTGGAGAAACTATTTGGCTTTAATTAGAGCTTAATTACATTGAAATCGGATGAATATTAACGGAGCTGTGAGGCAAAAACTGACTCGGTGCCATTTTTGGAAAATTTTCAATGTTCGACAAATTGAATTTTGAATCCTTTCAGCTGCAAAACTGTTGGAACTAAATCAAAATCTTTATCAATGGGTTTGTAGAAAATTCAATGGGCTTCAATAAGAGCTTAATTCTATTGAAATTGGTTGATAATTAACGGAGCTGTGAAGGAAAATCTGTCTCAGTGTAATTTTTGGAAAATTTTCAATTTTCGATAAATTCAATGTTGAAACTTCTCAGGTGCAAAACTGTTGAAACTAAATTGAAATTTTAATTGACAGGTTTGTAGAGAATTTAATTGGCTTTAATTAGAGCCTAATTGAGTGGAAATCGGATGAAAATTAAAGAAGCTGTGAGCCAAAAACTTTCTCAGTGTCATTTTTGGAAAATTTCCAATGTTTGATAGATTCAATTCTGAAGTTTCTCAGGTACAAAACTGTTAAAACAAATATACAATTTTGTCTAGCTAAGTAAAAACAAAAACCCTACAATAACACGAAAACTATTACAATAACCCGCAAAAACCCAATAGAAATTTTCAAAAACCTGGGGAACCATCATCCCCATTATCTTGGCCTGTAAAAATGTGTTTAACTCTTATACTTTTCACTATTTTATATTTTTTATATTTTTGTATTCCCATATTTTTTCTCAGTGCTAGTCTAATGACTTATGATTGAAAGTGATACCAATCAATGGTAATACTCTGTATTTTGTTCTGTCATGCATGATGATACACTGGTTGAGATAGGAAGCTGTGCTTCAACTCTGTCATTTGTCATTCCTAAACATTTGCTAACTTCTTTGTGTCTGTAACTTGTGAATTGATTAATTACAATACATCCTATCTATATCTTGTTATTTGGAAACCGGGCATAAGTAATACGGTTTCATCAAGACGAGAAATCTTGACTTGAACGTAATTTCTTGACTTAAACGTAATTTCTTGACTTGAAATTCAAGATCAAGAATTTGAACATGTTTTGACTCGATGGGTTCTTGAAAGCAAAAGGCTTGACTTGAATTCAAGATATCTTAAAATTTCTTGAAATTACTTGAAAAAAAGCTATTTTTGTTTTTCGCCACTTCAATAGTTTCGCAGCTGCAACGCTTCAAAGCCTTTGACTACGATTTTTGTCAGGATGAGACAGCAGAAGTAAATTTTAAATGTTTTTCTTAAATTTTGATCTTCCCTCTATCCACTTGCAAAATTTCAATCCAATCCCTTAAACATGTTCTTCAAAAAAAAAAAAAAAACATCCCTCAATGTAATTTTTTGGAAATTTGAATTTTCCCAAAATGACACCAACACACATTTTGCTTCACATCTGTGTTAATTTCAATCCGATCGTAATGTAATTAGGCTTTAATTAAATTCAATTGAAATCTCTACAAATCTCCAGTGAATAATTTCAATCTAGGTTCAATAGTTTTGCAGCTGTAAAGCTTCAAAGTCTTTCGACCACGACTTTTGTCAGGATGAGAGAGCAGAAGTAAATTTTAAATTTTTCACCTAAGTTTCGATCTTTTTTCTATTCAAATACAAAATTTCAATTTAATCCATCAGACATTTTCCTTAAAAATAAAATAAAACGTCCCTCAATGTAATTTCCTGGAAATTTGAACTTTCCCAAAATGTCATCAACACACATTTTGTCTCACAACTTTGTTAAGTTCAATCCGATCTTAACGTAATAAGGCTTCAATTAGGGCCAATTAAATTCTCTACAAATTTCCAGCAAATAATTTCAATCCAGCTTCAATAGTTTTGCAGCTGCAAAGCTTCAAAGCCTTTTGACTACGATTTTTGTCAAGATGAGAAAGCAGAAGTAAATTTCAAATTTTTTACCTAAGTTTCGATCTTTCCTCTTATCTTATTGCAAAATTTCAATCCAATCCCTCGAACATTTTCCTTAAAAAAAATAAAACATCCCTAAATGTATTTTTTGGAAACATAGACTTTCCCAGAATGACACCAACACATATTTTGCCTCATAACTTTGTTAATTTCAATCCGATCTTAACTTAATTAACCTTTAATTAAAGCCAATTAAATTCTCTACAAATCTCTAGTGAAAAATTTCAATCCAGCTTCAATAATTTTGTATCTGCAAAGCTTCAAATTCTTTTGACTACGATTTTTATCAGGATGAGAAAGCAGAAGGAAATTTCAAATTGTCTACCTAAATTTCCATCTTTTCTCTATCCAATTGCAAAATTTCAATCCAATCTCTCAAACATTTTCCTCAAAAAAAAAAAAATAATAATAAAACCTGCCTCAATGTAATACTTATTTTGGAAATTGAACTTTCCCAAAATGACACCAACATACATTTTGCCTCACAACTTTGTTAATTTCAATCCGATCTTAATGTAATTAGGCTTTAATCAAAGCCAATTAAATTCTCTGCAAATCTCCAATGAATAATTTCAGTATTGCTGCTGGAAAGCTTCAAAGTCTTCTGACTATGATCATCTGGAGTTCAAATGAACGCTTTGGTCCGTAGCTGGGTTCAGCTTTCTCACTCCGTGTACTCCCGTGACTCCGTTCTATTGAAATGGTTACTGCACACTGAGTATTTTCGTATCTTTTTCTACCAGCTTATATAGGAGCGAAATACTCACATACATATGGATGTATGGGATCCTGATCATAGCCGAAGGGTATTATTGCAGTCTGCAACTTGTATTTTAATATACTATTACAGCCACTTATAAAACTGTTAATTTCAAGAAATCCAAAAATTTCATGTGAATTTCTTGGTTTCTAGACAAGAAATCTTGATCTTGAAATAGGAAAATCTTGACTTGACTTGACAGTTTCAGATTTCTTGACTTGAAATTTTCTTGAATTCAAGCAAGATCAAGTCAAAAACCGGAAATTTCTTGAACATTGTGAAACCTTAATAAGTAAATGAATCAAATTAACTAAAGCCTCTTTGTTGATAGAAGGTTTCGAAAACAGGAGGTAAATATATGAAAGCAAGAAATGATAATCGAAAAAAGTTGAAATTTATTTATGATTGATGTTATAGAACATAGTAATTGTACTGTCTATATTTTGCACCCACACCTATCACACTCACGCCTGTTTGAATAGATAAAATGTCAAATGTTAAAGTTGTTGGTAATATCAGAAAGTTTCCAATGAAGTTAGTTACAAGTATACAGGGTGTATCACAAAAGTGTGGCAAAGCAAAGTTGAACTTCTTTAAATGGAACACCCCGTATATTTATTGACCCATTGGATTAGCCTTTCAAACCTGGTTACAAATCTACTAGGTTTTTAACAAAAAAGAAAGGTGGAAAAATAGCATTTTTATTGAAAAGGGTAGAGCGAGGGGTAGAGTATAGAGACCACCAGTAAAATATAAAGGTAATCATCGAGGTAATCATTAAGTAAAAAATCCATATTATCTCTTCAAAATGGGATATTCAGAGGCTGAACTATGAGGAATAAACCTATTAAACCAAGTAAGTATATTTGGAATCAGGTTTTTATATATTTATTTATCTACTTGGTTTGGAAGATTAGTCCAATAGATCAATAATATATGGGGTGTTCCATTACACATTGACTGCCAAGGCCAAATCCTGAATTATTCGCTGGGGGCCAAAGTTGTATTTTCGTATTTTTTGGCTTTTCTTTTATTTTACAGTGAAAATTTACTTATAATTCTGTTTGGTTTTTATTTTTTTGGCTTTTTTGCATTTTTTGTTGTGTCATTCATAAATGAATGACGCGGCCCCCTGGAAAACTTTGACGAAATTTTATCGCACCGGCCACGTCATTCATATGCGAATGAGACAACAAAAAATGCAAAAAAGCCAAAAAAATTAAAACCAAACAAAATTATAAGTAAATTGTCATTGTAAAATAAAAGAAAAGCCAAAAAATACGGAAATACAACTTTTAGCCCCCAGCGAATAATTCATGATTTGGCCTGTTCCTTTTGTAAATTATAAGTTCATATTTCATCATATACACATAATCAGGAAGAATTAGTTTTTTTTTTTGTGTTTGACAGTTTTTTACTTAAAATTATACCTATTTTAAGTAAATTTTTGGTTTCATTGGTCTTGGACAATAACCCAACAAAATTTGCTCTGGCCAAGTTTACCTTGAGAATCCCCAGGGGCCACGCAAATATATCTCCACTTAAAATACACAGGCTGTCATACCTAAATGCATGACATGGCCTAGAAGTGAAACTGAACCGTCATACAAATATGAATGACGCGGCCGGAACGGAAGTGGCCGTGTCATTCATAAATGTATGACGTGGCAGTCAATGTGTTAAAAAAGTATAACTTTGCTTCGCCACACTTCTGTGACACACCCTGTATACTTGTAACTAACTTCATTGCAAAGTTTCTGATATTACCTACAACTTACATCAACATTTCTGGGTATCTCTTCAAACAGATAAGGCAGGTGTGGGTGCAAAATATAGACAATTACCCAGTACTATAACAAATTGAATTTACCGAAACTATTTCATCATTCCGCTTTTCTATCGAGCCACAAAGTTTCAAATTTTTGTCATTATACATAAAATTTCTAGATAAAATGTTATCGTAAAGGTTAATCGTTTTCAATATTTGCTTAAAATGTTCTAAAGGTCGAGTGAATAAAGAATACACCAAAAATAAATATTGTTTCATGCAGGACTTTTCCTAAAGTGAATTTTGCCAAATTGGCAAGGAAATAATAATTATCACATGTGTGTGTCTGGGAGAATGATTATATCTAAATTTCGTTTTCTCAGAATTACCAATTTGAATTATCTGGACAGATGCAATCAAAGTCCAGCAATATCATTCGTTAAACACCTGAACAGACAATGTGTCGCGATTTATAAATTCAACCTTTAACCATTTTGTCATAATTACACACTTTATTTGTTATGAGAAAAATATGTAATTGCTTTCACAGTTTGATCTGTTATTGTAATTGAAGAGTGGTTCGTTAGTTTGTAGCCGAATTATTACGGTTTATTGCCACTAATCTCTGATAAAAGATAAATAAATATTGTTAACTACTATTATTGGCTACCTAGGAAATAAATTATATTGGTGCAGTAGCTCAATAGTAAGTGAGAGAAATTTGTTTAAAAGGTATCCAGGAAAATAATTGATATGTTTTTTTCTCTTGAAAGTATTTGGGTACAATATTAGTAGGTATAAATCAATAGAATCAGTTTTTAACTAGAGTGCTGACAATTACAAATCCACCATTATGGATTTTTCAATAGCAGAATATATTAAGAAAACAAATGTGTTTTTAATTGATCCTTTCAAAACCTTCAAGATAATCATTATGAAATAAGAATATTAATGTATGGTCTTAATTAATCCCACATAAATGAACTAATTTTGGTGTGGAAAAATTATTGTGATGTGACACAAGTACTTCCAAGCATACTTTGTTGATTTGCTAAAGTCTCATTTAAATAACTTTAACAATAGTTGTTCCACATTCATAACGATCAATTTAGTAACATTATGCAATAGAAGAATAATAAAAATTTGCATCATTTATTAGAAATCTCAAAAAAACATGCACAAACTAATTAAATTTGAATGTTGCGAGATAAGCTGTAAACTTGAAAACAATAATTATTAACATGTAATGAATTTATCAGAATCATTGACTCACGACTGAAGTATAAATTACACTTAAAATAACGACAAAAAAATCCTTACCACTTTTTCCCTACTCCTCAAAACTCCCAATTTGCCAAACCTGACATGGAACGGTGAACAATTGTATGTACCATCAGGTTGTTCGACAACAACCACATCTATGGCACCGGTCAATGTGGCACCATTAATATCGTTGTAGAAGTCTTTGAAGTTTGAAAATATTCTCATCATACCATTCATTTTTGATCACTTTAATTTTATCAGTTCTTTCTGTAACAAAAACACTTATAAAGCTTCATTCGGGAGGCGACTATCAAAAGTTCAAAACCGTTTTTAAACAATTTGGTTTATTTGTTTAAATCGAATTTATTTTGTTGCGGTATTCTCGCCGGAGCGCGCGATTCTCTCGCTGTGATAAACGATAACTGAATCAGTCAGGAAAAATCGAAGCAGGAGTTATTATATAAAATGGTGGGGAAGCATTAGCGTAGCGACACGGGGGAGATCGGTCTGGAGCGCACAACACGCAATATCCAGATTGGATCGATAGTCATAGCTGCCTCTGATAAACAGGGGTTTCGTTTAAAATTTGAGGTGAATGGGATTTGCATTTAAAGGGTACATTTGCGTGTGGAAACAGGTGGAAAATCCAATTATGTGATTCATAACTTATAATAGTATGAGAGGAAACCCTCTAAAGTGATTTAAAAAAAAAAAATCACGTATACTTTTGTCATTAACTTGTAGAAAAATTTACCTATTAGTATGTATTTTCAAACGTATCACAAGCGGCAATTTATCTTGTCTTTAGCAACCAATAATGACGTTTCAACCATTGTTTGAACCTTCAAATGTATCATGTAACCTATTTTAATAAGAATTCAAGTAGGTACGGCACTGTGTATTATTTTTTAAAAAGCTTTTCACCGGTCCACGTGGAATAAAAATCTCTATTCATAAACAAAATATTGTTCCATATTATTACGCACCTACACATTACTGCGCTGTTTTTTAGCTGCGTAATAAAAACTGTTTAGAAATAAACCATAAAATAGGTACTCCACAGTTTTACGCAGCCAAATAAAAAATCTTTGCGTGGGGTAAACCTCCTTTATGGTATGACTTAGGATTATTATCATAAAGTCAATAGAAACGAATTATTCAAGTCCAATTGAAATACCAGTTAAAGTATTTCAAAAGTCGAATTACCTAATTGGATGTTTATACATTATTTGAAAAAGTTAATCCAATTAATTTTGAATTATAAGCCTGAATAGGTAACTGAACAAGTTTCTCTGGGTATTTATTTTCATTTACTTGTTCTGAAAATTTTCCAGTATGTCTTTGTTCAATATCTTTGTCTGATAATTCTATACTTGCAGCTATTCCTACTGCAAACATTTTGTTGCAAAAGTTAAACTAATAAACGATAATACAGTTACATATAACAAAATATAACCCATTAAAAGTATGGACACAAGTTCTTCATTTGGCAAGTTCAGGTAAGCATTGAAAGATTTTCTCACGGCTGATGTTTTTTATGGCTTGAGGGAATTTATCGAAATAATGGTGACAGCAAGATAAGTACCTATCGAGAATGTTGAGTAATATTTGTTCAAGTGACTTGTTCCAAGTGCTTCTCTTAAAAAACACATGGCGAAATAGTATTCAAGAGCAAATTTATATGGATATTGTTTCTTCTTTCGTAATTCAACTTTCTGAAGGATTGATTTGAAATGTGATATAAAAAACCTATAAGTGGTTTCTCGTACAAATGAATGTGAAGAGAAGTTTTGTCAATACAAATGAAATTGGGTATAGGAAAATGATAAAATGAAACCAAAATAAGAATGCTTCAAATATGTTCAATTCAATTCAAAACAAGCTTTATTGTCAAAGAACAAAAAATCTTATTGACAAAGCATTTTTACATACTAATAATTTAAGATTAAGATTAAAATCCAGTCAGTAAATAACATTAACATTGTGCACAAAAAATAAATAAGTTAGTAAATGGTACAATAAAGGATAGGCAACAAACAAATGACAAGATAATTTAAGACTAGGATAAATACAACGACAGTTAAGTCAAAATATAACATGTATGCAACAGAAGCAGGGAGGCTTTAGTCCTATATACCTAGAGACATTTAGAAACTCATCAACCGTATAGAAGGCATGTTGAAGTAGAGTACTCTTCAAATGGCTTCGAAACCGTGAAATATCTGAGATGTTTCTTATAGTTGCAGAGTGATTATAGAATTTCACGCTGTTGTAAATTATTGAGTTCTTCACAAGAGTAGAGTGCGGAATCGGGAGCGGTATATTGTGCGTCTGTCGTGTAGAAAAGGCAGTTTGGTTGTACAGGGAACGAAGATATGTGTTTATGTAAGAGACTTACCGATTCAAGTAAAAAATGTTAAGATGTTAATTTTTTTAAATAAGGGTTTGCAGTGTTCCACCGAGGAGGCATCAGCGATAAAGCGGACTGCTAGAGTTTAAACACTGATTGAAACAGGTATTGGCTACAACAGTCCCAAAAAGGTAGTCCATAGGAAAGGTGGAATTGTATCAATGCAAAATACACTGATTTTGGATTTTGCTATGGTTGCATCCAAATTTGTGGCCACAGCTCGGACAACAGAAGCAAGTTTCCCGCCAAATGCAGTGACATGCGATTGGAATTTAAAATCAACGTCAAGTTAGAGTCCAAGAAATTTAGTATTTATAGAGGATTTGATGGAGAATTCGTCATAATCAATATCATTAACATTACATCGGAACCCAAGCACCCGAGTCTTACCAAAACTAAAAAGCAGTCCATTTGGATCACACCAGAAATCACCTGAACCAGCTCATCAGAACTTCCCCCGTGCCACACAACCGTTAAATCATCCGCGAACGCAGTGAAGACTCCCGATATATCAAGCTAGAGAAGATCATTTATATAGATGAGGAATAATATTGGTCACAGGACTGATCCCTGTGAAACCCCACGGACGATTGGCTGCGATCAGAAGAACATTTTCCATCCAGAATGACACGCTGACTGCGATGTGAAAGATATGATTCGAACCACCTCGAGATCACACCCCTAAAGCCGTAGACCTCTAACTTCCTCAGAAGAGTTCTGTGACTCACACAGTCAAAGGCCTTTGAGAAGTCACAGAACACCCCCGCAGTAGCAAAGCCATTGTTGTAGTGCTTCAGGAGTTGTTCCAGAACGCGAAACATGGCAACATGGGTCCCCTTCTTAGGAAGGAATCCAAATTGGGCGGAGTTAGGAATTTTATGTTTTGATTTTGATAGGAAGTCCATCATACGTTTTTTGAGAAGCTTCTCAACAACTTTGGATATTGTTGATAACAATGATATTGGGCGATAATTTGATGGCTCTTTTGTATCCATCCGTATAAAAATTCGAGTTTGAGAATATGAAAACATTTATGTCATTTATACTACTTATGTTTGTCTTAAGCCGTGGTTCAACAACAAAAAAAAATGACAACTTAGGTCGAATATTATAAAACTATTTTGACAGAATAACTAGAAGTTATCTTCTGGAATGACAATATTTCTCATAGTAACTCCAGAAGTTAACATTTAGTTATCTGTCAAAATAGTTTCATAATACTTGTCTTAAAAAACTTGATATTTCTTATATGTAAATAAAAATAAATGAAATAATAATTGATAATTGACATAATATAGACTGTTTTGGCGGAGATCTCTGTGATTTCCTTCTCAAAAATATACTACTACGGCCGTTAAACTTCTTAACATAAAATAATAAAACTATAAAATAGGAAAAAAAGATGATACAAATAATATTGATATATATATCATGATATTTATAACATAAATATCATGATATTTATCAAGATATATATCAGGATATTTATCACTAATATATATCCTGCCAACCCTGATCGGTATTACCAATGCTTCCCTAAGACTAGGTGGAAAAATTCCTGATGAAAAGGACAGGCTGATTGCTTCCAATAAAACACCAAGGGCCTGTTCCGGAAGCTCCCTCAAGATTTTTATGGATATACCATCTGAACCGGCTGTGGACTGTTTTTTAATGGATTTAAGAACAGATCCTACTTCATGGACATCGGTGGGAAAAAATGAAAAAGACTCGTTGGCATGCAAGTCTCCGAGATAACTCAATGGATCAACATTCGAGTTGACGGCTGCAGTAAGGTTATCAGCGACAGTGCAGTAAAAGCTGTTCCAAGTCTTCAAGATCAATGTCAATTTCTTGAGGTCTAAGGCTTTTTTTACCTGTAACCTCTCTTACGATGTTCCAGGTTTCCCTAGATTTATTAGCAGCATTGCTTGAACGATTAGAGTAGAATAAGTGTTTAGCAGTACGGATAGATTTCCTATACATTTTTCTATATTTGAGATACTAGTTCAAGATAAAAGGACTATCAACAAAGTGTTTTCTTATGAGATTTAAAGATCTTGAGTTAGCTGCAGAAATCTTTAAGCCCTTTGTCATCCAATATTTTCGGTTACCCTGTTTACGAAGGGGCTTAGGGGAAAATATTTATCTATGACATTACTCAGAGTAAGATGGAATTCTTGAAGAGGATCTGCCCTACAAAGGATGGATTGCCAAGGGATGTTATTACAGGTTGGCTTAAAATGAGAGAAATTTTCCCTGCTAAATATTCGGCCTTGTTGCTATTCTGAATAGGCTTAACTTTCAGGGGTAATGAAGCTATAATAGCACTGTCATCTGAGAGGCCGGGGTCAGAAACAATACAATCAAGATCAGAATCAAGATTAGAGCAAACATAGTCTATCGTAGTGGAGGTGGTGTCTGGTTGTCCGCGTGGGTTCCTTAACATGCATTTGAAGATTGAAGTAGGTTGAGCAAAAGAACAGTCGAATACCACTCGGGATACTCAAAATCAATATTAAGGTCTCCCGCAACTATCAATCTGGAATTTGGTGCTATGTTCGAGAGAAGTATTCCAAATTTATCCACAAAGCCCGAAACGCAAGTGCCAAGGGAACCATAGATAGGTACAGAGAATATATGTATTCAGGGACCTTGAGAAAAGTAGAGAAAATTCAAATAGTTTTTCAGACAATAAAAACTCAAATTTATCGCAGTCGCAGAAGTCCGAGCTGGATGCAAATTCGGAACTTATCAAAACTAAGTTAGTTAACCTATCTCCTCGCCTATCTCTTATTACTGGATCAATCCCAAACTCGATGAAAATGGCAAAAATTGTACCACTATATAAAGGGGGTGA